ATAAGAAAAAAGCAATTTTAACTTCAGATTTGCTCGTTTGAGGTGAAACAAAAAATGTTTTTCTTTGCAGTTTTGGCGTAAAATCATCATATTTTTTTTTTCTTTTTGTAAACTCAATCCGAGGACATACTATATGTTTCTCGTTACCTTCAAAATAGCTCAATAAATCGTATTTTTTTAATATACCATACAATTTCTTTGTACTCAAAATAAAAGTAACAGTGTAAATAATAAATCCAAGAATAAATAGTTCTGACGATGGTAACTTGGTTGACGAAACACGTGACGACGGTGTTAAATTTTGTTTTATCTCGCTTTGTGTTTTTTTATTTTTCTCTAAACAAAAGACAATAAATTATTAATGATAAAAATGATGCCTTTATTATATAATTTAGTCAAATAATAACATAATGGCGGCAAAAGGCCGATGTATTGATAGAATATATGAAAAAAAAAACAATAATCAAAAGCGACAGAAAAAAACAATTGTTATTTCTTGAAAAAAGTGAAAATGTTATTTTTTTAAATAAATAAATATAATTATTAACTTTGCTACTTCACTACAAAAATGCGATTTATTTAACAGTGAATAAAAAATGAAAAGATTCACAATGCGCATTGTTAAAATTGTGATTCGAATTATTGTGTGGGCGCTAGTATAAATCTAAGCACTATCTGAACAAAACACAGCAGCTGTTGTTTTCTAGATAAGATTTGGTTTAAAATTCCCAGCTACCAGAAATTGTCAAAGTATTTGTGTTGTAACAATTTTGTATAAATGAAAGTTTAAGAGAGCGTGGTGTTGGTAAATATTTTATGCCTCTATCACGTATAAATAGACCATCGAGGGTGTGTTGATGTGTACCACCCTTTCCCTCGATTAATGTGTTGGTCTTTTTAATCAAATGTAACTTAATACTAAAGTGTTTATGTTTAACGCACACAGAGCAACCTTTCAAAATGATTAAATGTAAACACCTCATGACGCTTGTGTTTTCCGAAATTAAATTTGAATTATTTATTTGAATATCTGTAAGTATCCACTAAATTAATATTTAAATAATCACTTGACTAAGCGTAAATACAATTAAAAGGATTATGTACACTTCGACTCGGCGGCGCTTTCTATGAAATCCCGAGAAAATTTCGCCCTTCTCGGGGAAAAATAATTCAATGTGAAGATCGTATTTATTATCAGGGCACGATCTAATTATCATGTCGGGTAATAATTAAGCTGAATTGAAATAGCCACCGTGTATAGAAATATTTAGATTGTATCAGCGGTCGATCAATTTGAATTATGTATGACACTCATATAACCGTTTTATTGTTACGATTTACCGTTCACGAATCACGTTTCAAACACACTCTAAACAAATATTATACTTACACATTTTTAATGTATTTTATTCAATTCTCCTATACAAGGTGCGCCAGAAAAAAAAATTTATTCTTAGATTTATCACCATTACTTTTATTTTGAGTACAAAGAAATTGTAAGGTATATTAAAAAATACGATTTATTGAGCTATTTTGAAGCTAACGAGAAATATATAGTATGTGCTCGGATTGAGTTTACAAGAAAAAGAAAAAAATATCTTTGATTTTACGGCAAAACTACAAAGAAAAACATTTTTTGTTTCACCTGAAACGAGCAAATCTGAAATTAAAATTGCTTTATTCTGATTCATTGAAAAGTTCATTTTTTTTAGTTAAATAACAAAAATGTTAAGATAAAAACAAAGTCATTTTTTAACAAGAATTAATTAATTAACTGTCAAAGTGACATCGTTGTCAAAAAAATAAAACCGCTAATGTGATGATGCATTATAGAAAAAAATTAAACTCCAACATCAAGAGAAAAACGAGCTTTTCTTTCCTCTGAGTCAAAATAATGAAGTTTTAATTACGAATTTGCTTGTTCCAGGTTAAGCAAAAAAATGTTTTTTGCAGTTTTGGCGTAAAACCAAAGATACATTTTTTTTTCCTTTTGTAAACCCAATCCGGAAACACTGTTTATTTCTCTCAAAATTTAATCGATTCCAAATGGAACCATGACAAAAACTCTGGTTAACTTAATTGCAATTAAATTGTTATGTTTCTTAAAAATTCACTTATAATCATCACAAAGAAAACAAAAAAATTAAACTCCAAAATCAAGAAAAAACGAGTTTTTCTTTTCTCTGAGTCAAAATAATGAAGTTTTAATTACGAATTTGCTCGTTCTACATTAAGCAAAAAATATTTTTCCTTTGCAGTTTTGGCGTAAAACCAAAGATACATTTTTTTTCCTTTTGTAAACCGAATCCTGAAACATACTGTTTATCTCAAAATTTAATCGATTCCAGATGATAAAAACTCTGGTTAACTTAATTGCAATTAAATTATTATGTTTCTTAAAAATTCACTTATAATCATCACAAAAAAAAAACAAAAAAAAACAAAAACAGAATGCCTCAAAAAAAACTAGAAAAACTGATTTTTGTTGCTCTTTTCTTTCTATTGATTGTTGAGAATATTTATCTTTTTTAAATTATCAACAATGATACCAGGAATATGGAAAAAATGTTAAAAAAAAATCTATCTATAAAAATTCGAAGTTATGAAAGTATAAATTTTGTAATTTGACTATTTACTTCTGTTGCATAAAGAATTTTTTACGATTTTTTGCTACAGACTATTAAAAGGGGAAACAAGGAAGCTGTATTCTAAATTGTAACTCTGTTTAATGTTATTTGTGGCTTTTATTGGCAAAATTTTTGTACTTTTACTAAGTAATTATAAAAAAAACATATATCTACAAGATCATCAGTATCATTAAATAGACATAAAAAATTTCAAATGTCAAATTTTTGTGATAGATAATTTTTTTAAACATTTTTTTCCGTGTTCCTGGTATCTTATCTTTTTCTCTGGGGCGCGAGTTCTGACACGCTGGAAAAACAACATTACTGTTGTTGTTAATTTAAAAAAGATGAATATTTTCAACAATAAATAGAAAGAAGTGAGCAACTATTGATTATGGACCTAAAAATCGTTTACTCTAGTTTTTTTTTGAGGCATTTTGTTTTTATTTTTTTTTGTGATGTTTATAAGTAAATTTTTAAAACATAATAATTTAATTGCAATTAACTTAACCAGAGTTTTTGTCATGGTTCCATCTGGAATTGATAAAATTTCGAGTGATATTAAAATCAAGAAATAAACAGTATGTTTCCGGATTTG